ATCCTCACTTTAGGGTCTTGAAAGGGTTCAAAATCATTCACGAGGCCTTGTGGGTGAGTAATTATTTCCCACCTTACAACCGGGCTTTCCTACAGATAAAACGTTAGACGCATCTCTCTACTTTAGCGCTTCATGGTAGTTCTTCTGACGAGCTACATATTTAGTTCTAATAGTTTCGACTTATACAGCTAACACCTTCCATCTCCGTCATAGAGAAACAATTCCCCTCACTAACTTCCAGTACTTTCTGTTGGTTGGTCAATTTTGTTTCGCGATATATCAAACTCTATGGGTTGTTTAATGACGAAATCTTATGTTTTATAGACAATGTTATTACGTTTTGTAATAAATTTTATACTTCCAGGGCAAACATATGTCTTTTTAGATATAAAGTTTGAGAGTGATAAATGTAATGTTGATATATATATATTTTAATTTATTGCTGCTAATTTTACTATAAAAATGTATATTCATACTTGTTTTAACGTTGTATTGATTGTCATTTTTTTATAAAATATATTGTCGATAATTCTCCTATAACTGGTCATTTTACAATAAAAATATATTATTGGTAATTATTTTGAATATAATAAAGATTTGTTGCTGGTATTTTTACTATAAAAAAACGTTTTGATTTTTATTTGGGAGTCTCCTATTTGCCCACTAGCAGACGGGGGCAGAGTTGACCTGGGAACAACAGGAAATAAGATGAGATTCCACACTCTTCAAAGCCTTCAATCTTCTAATCAGATGCATTGCTGCCTGATTGCAGATGCATTCCTGTCCAATGTAGTTTAATCTTCATACCCAGGAATTAATTGTTAAGAAGGAAGTTCCACTCTTGTCCAGAACCAAGAAATTTTGAAATAAACACCTGTCTGGATGCTTTCGTGAATATTAAAAAAATAACCTCTCCAAGACTCAGAGTAACGAATTCTTGAAATGTTTTGCATTGGAGACCATTTTTTCCTGTCAAAAAGTTTTGTAGCAATCGTAAAATGACTGGTGTAAGGTCAGCTAAATATAACAGGAGGAAAAAAACAGACCAATTGAGTTCCAACATCTTTCCTGCTATTCTTGCTTTCTACAGACTTTCGTTGTCATGAAGGTGGCGACTATGTTTTCTATTGACGAGTTGAGGAGGATTTTCGGTGAAATTTTTATGAACACGTTACACCTGCTGGGCATACAAATAAGCATTAAGTTATTTCTTACGTTTTAAAAATGTAATTAAATAATCAAACTACACGAAAAATGCTACCTTTCTTCCATGGATTTGATTTGATTGATTCATTTTCTACGGCTTATCAAACTTTTATAGCTGTATTAAAGTTACAGCCAGCGCCATCTGTCTAACTCTCTGCATTAGCAGGGAGGAACCCGGACGAAGTTTTGCCGAAGGGCAAGGTTTCGTTCGGGGAGGTTATGACAGCTCTCGTACCCGCCTAGGCGAGTTCGAAGGCTATATTTTTGGCCGGGCCTACGGGCTCGGATGACCCACATTAAACTCGGCCTTGTGCCACATTCGATCTCACGTGGGGGGATAGCTAAATATTAGCTTATTTAAAGCCAGAATTATTTTGCAGATAATAATAGTTCATTGATATAATGTTTACTAATTAACCAATTACTGATGGATATGAGGTGGATTAACACCTTTCCCAATAGTATATGCGTGTAAGGAAATATAACGAACCAAACAGAAATTGGAACTCCGGGATGAGCAATTATCAATCCCGAGCCATTATTCATTACAATACTCGCATATCCGAGTTTACAGCACCCGGTGTTCCCAAGTGGCCACCCGTCTAGATATAGATCAAACTCGTTCTTCCATCGAGATCAGGTTTTGAGGTTGGTTGTGGATGTTTATCGTTGTCAGTCCAATGTATTTTTCCGTTGAACATTATTGCATGCAACCTATTTTTATCACTTGTTATAATATATATAAGTAAGAGTTAGTTTGGATTATACATTCGTCATTTAATCTGTTTCCCAGAAACAATTACTTAAGACTCAACCTAATATACGAGTGTAAGTCAAATATTATCCGCACTTTCGCAATATCTATAGTTTTGTCACACTGCCTTCTAATCATGTGTGCTTATAATTGGTAATATTGTAATCATGTGATCGAAGATTGAGCTTGATCGCGCCAGTCTTCTTGTTGCTGTTACAGTGTAAACTGTTACGGTTTTTGGGGTATATACTATATATAACTAGTGAGCGAGTCAAAATGACTTATTTCCCTTTATAGTCTACCAATAGAAGATTAACCAATCAGGAGCCGCAGAACACTGTATCCGTCGTATATAAAGGCGGTCATTCTTGTTTTTCCTACCGGAAGGACCAGAGCCAACTTGTCAGGCGAACACGACAGAAGGAAGAACTACACTCTGCTGTGATATCCACTCGAACATGAACTACGCTTTCCTACTGTCTCCGAAATATTCACTACCAACCTCTGGATTCTATACTCGAAGACGACCGTCATGAAAATGTCTAACATAAACATGGTCGCTCCGCTAGCAGTAAGCATCAAGGAAGAACAGAGAGTAGTTATCAGAATCTATAGTGATATAGATAATGGATGATAATTTGCCAGTTGGCTATTACCATCTCTCGAGCTTGCTGAATCTTCTCGTTAATGGTGGAGGTTGATGGACGTCCTCCTCGTTCTTCTTCTATCACGCTGGCCCGACCATTTTTAAACTTCTCGATCCATTCATGCACAGTTCTACGCGGTAGTGCACTGTCGGCGTATTGTGTTAAAATCCTCCGATTAATTTCAGCTCTCGACGCACCTTCGGACCATAGAAATGGTAGCATTGTTGCACACTGCTAGCGGGGCGGTCATGTTTACACTGTAACAGCAGCAACACAACGAGTGTGATCAAGGTCAAACTTAGAACGCGTGAACCAACTATAAGTATTCATGAGCAGAGGGAAGTGTGACAAACAGAAAGATATGTTATCGCGAAAACGCGGACAATTTTTGAGTTACAAGTAGCTGCCTGTAAATTACCTAAAACAGCAATGCATTAATCATTTACTTTCAGATATGAGAGGAGATAATAAAGGGTATAATTGTTCATCAAGGAGGTCCGCATTTCATTCACTTAGCGTCTCGAATTGATGCTGTTCTCATATGAGAGTCAACTGACATCAATTTGCTCATCATCCATTTTATCCAACTTCCGCCATTTCAGTGTCATTTTTTCACAGCACAGAACATGAGTCACTGTAGATTTGGTCCCAAATATAGGCATTGAGACTTAGATGCCGAGCTATATCCTCACGTTCTTTTATGTACCATGTCCCTTCAGAAAGTAGTGTCTATAGCCCTCCACAGCTTCCTGTTCTTTGAAGTTCTAAGCAATGTTGGTCGCTTTAATAATCTCTGCTCTGTCGTTTATGCACACAAACTTATTAGGTAAGTTTCTTTCGCTCTGGTTATCTCGTTTTCATTAAGTGTTAAATTCTGCAATTCGTCAGTCTTCACTATGCGTTAGAGAAATTTCAACTGTGTTTTTTTTTTTCTGATTCTAAGAATAAGTTTGTTTTTTATACTCATTTCCCCATAAACTTTCGTATTGCTCATATTTTAAGATCATGGCATTTTCGGCATACATCTAAAGAGCCACATCTCCATTACCAGCTTCCAGTCTTCATTTAATCTGTGAGGAAATTACCCAGCATTTACTGTTACATTTAGTGGAATTATATTGCGTGTCAGTTCATCAGATTTTTCTGTGTTTGTAACAAAATTTTCTTGTGTCTTAATACTTTGTTTAGCTTTTGTAAGGACTTATCAGTTCCAACTGCTACACGAACGGACCTGTAAAATCCGTTTAACTTGCCTGCCTTATTTTTGTTTTCTTCTCTTTTAATTTCTTTTTATTTGACCCACATCTCGGACCTCCTTATTTCTCATCTTCCTTTTCCATTTTCTTTCTCTTCCCGTCCCATTTTTTTATTCGTCCGTCTTCACTTTTCCTTCTTTTTCTATTTTCCATATTGCCTTCAAATATTTGAGATTTTATTCCATATTTCTTGTCCATTTTTAATTCTGTTTTTACTCATTCTCCATCCTTTTTCTGACCTACGGCCATATCACGATGAAACACAGGTTCCCATAAGATCACCAGAGTTAATCAACGTCGTGTCTTGACAGTAGATAGATAGGCAACTGCTTTCAGATAACAGGTGCTGTAAGGTGTTCATTATATTAACTTACGCGCAAATATCCTTGGGAAATGCATGAACCAACCTGTTCTTCACCCAGCTATTGATTAATTAGTAAGACTTGTATCACTAAAACCATTATTAACCAAAACATATTTAGATTTAGGCATAGATGTTGATGTATCGCTAAACAAAAAAATAAAAGGACCAACCAAGATTTTTTAATTTTTCTTTTTTTAAAGATATCCTTATTCTTCATCTTTTCTTTTTGTTTTAGCTTTCTTTTTCTTCCTGTTCATTCCTCTGTCTTCACTTTTCCTTCTTTTTCTATTTTCCATATTGCCTACAAATATTTGAGATTTTATTCCATATTTCTTGTCCTTTTTTAATTATTTTTTACTCCTCCATCCTTTTTTCTGGCTTACGGCCATATCACAAAGAAAAACCGGTTCTCATAAGATCACCAGATGTTCGTCAGCGTCGATTCTTGTCAGTAGCTAGATAGGCAAGCGCTTGCAAATACCGGGTGTTGTAATCTTGGATGCTAGGGTGGTGTAATGGATATTGGCACTGAATTGTTAATGGGAGAAACGAGTTCGAATTCCAGTAGGGTTTGTTATATTCATTTACGCGAAAATATCCTTGGGAAAGGCATGAACCAACCTGTTCTTAAGCCAACTGTGGATTAATTAGTAAGATTTGTATCACTAAAACCATTATTAAACTCCCAAAATATTTAGGCATAAAATATCCTATAGATGTTGATGTACGCTAAAAGAAAAACAAGCAACCAACATTTTTAATTATTTTTTAAGATATCTCTCTTCTTTCCTTCTTGTTTTATATTTCTTCTCACCTCTTTTTTTCTTCCTGTTCTTTCCTTTCTCTTCACTTTTCCTTCTTTTCTGTTTTCTGTATTTCCTTCATCTATTTGAGATGTCATTCCATATTTCTTTTAATTTGTAATTCCGTTTTTTCTTTTTATCTTTCCCGTTTATCTTTTCCCTCGATTTTTTATTGTGTATACGTTTACTTTTCTTTCACTGTTTATTTCTCTCTTCAGTCTGCTTTGATTTTTCATTCTTTTTTCATCATCCTGGCATTTTTCACCGAGCTTCCATTTCTCTTTCTTTTTTGTCTTTTGTCATAATTTTTTGTTCTTTCTACCTTTCTTTCTTCAACACCATTTATTCTTACTTTTCTTTCTGATTCTACATCCTCTTTTCTTCTCTCTTCAATAAGTCTTATTCCCTTTTTGTTTTCTTCACTTCATCTATTTTTCATATTATTCTTCTTTTTCTTGTTACTTCATTTTCTTCATTTTTTTTCTTCAGAGAACTGTCATTTACCGTAATTCCCCATGTATAATACGACTTCATCCATAATACGTACACCTATAATTGTGCTAAAAATTTGAGAGAATGCTTCTAGTCATGCATAATACGCACCCCTTGCTTGGTAATTAAACCCTATAAATTGTACCTCTTCAATTTCATTACGGCCAGCGTTTCTTACTCTTATTTAAAAAATGGTTTTAAACATAGAATAACATTATTCTAATTTAGTTTTGTAATATTTTTTTATTTTATTTTACGGCAATTTTTAAAGAATTTTTTGTAGCTGTGCTTAATGCGCACCCCTTATTTTACTCATTATTTTTTTAGAAAAAATGCGTATTATACATGGGGAATTACGGTACTTCACTTTTTTCTTCTTCAACAGATTTACATATTTATTTATTTCCCATTTGCTCCTGAATTACTTTTTCTTTCTCCTTTTTTTTATTTCTTTTCTTTCAATAAGCTTTTTTCCTTTCTTTTTCTTCTTTACCGAGATTTCTTTATCCTTCCATTTCATTCTAATTCCTTTTTTTTATTATTTTCCCTTCGTTTACTTTTTTATTTCTTATTCGGTAACATGAATTCTTCTTCTATTTTGACTTCAGTACCATTTTTTTTCTCTCTTTATTTATTCTTCATCGATGCACACATTTCAGTACAAAATACGTCTTTGCCACAGTGACAGCAGCTTGCTTAAACAAATACATTCGGATGGGGTCCACCCCCACCTATGGGGCGTCCTTCTCCACCAGTTTGATCAGAAACAGCGTAAATCTATTGCTAGCTAATCTCATTTCCTTATTTGCAACTCTTGCAGCTGACGTGTACCTCCGAGATCATTCAGTCAAGATCTTTGCAGATCCATTGCCTCTGTTAACCTGAAGACGGAGTTGGCGCACGTGCTACTCCGTTCGATGACGATACCAAGATGTTCGACTTGAACTAAGAATAAATTCCTACATTTATCATGTTCCTTGATTCTCATAACTGACCCGACCAATCCGACCCCAGCTCGGTGCAGAATTGAAGTACAACTGGGTATCGGGAAATTCAAACGTGAAGAGGCAGCCCAGTGAATTTGGACCGGGGCAGTGTAGGATGCGGTTCACGGCAGTGTGTTAAATATGGGTCCTTATTTTATTTCCCCTCTCAATTGTCTTGCCTTCGAAGACAGATTTCCAAAAAGGTGCGTGCAAATGGCTGTGGACGAAGGATGGGATGACAAAAGTGGAATGAAATTGACCATCAAATAAGCAACCGGCTATTTTGGTCTCAAGACCACCGTTAGGTCAACAAGATAAATCGTTTTGGGCTTTCGAAGAATATCAACCGAAGATTGATAATCGTAAGGTAAGAGGTAGTTGTGGACCTTATTTTAACAGATTGCATACGACATTTAGAGATCGAGAGAATTCTTCTTCTTCTTCTTCTTCTTCTTCTTCTTCTTCTTCTTCTTCTTCTTCTTCTTGCCTTGCCAAAAGAAGGGATGTGACTTCTTTGTTGAAATACACATATTCACGTTTATTTTTAACAATATCTTGTCAAACATAGAATTAATTTAACGGGCATTTTCTTGCATATCATTTCATGACCTCATTCTCTTTTTGAGTATTTTGTTTTTCACTTACAATTATTTTGTATTTCTTAATCGAAATGTCTTTTTAAAAACCACGCTTTCATTGCCTTTCCATAACGTTCCTTGAATTTGCCATTGAATTTATAGTCTCTACGTTTTGCGTTGTTCTTTCTTTCTTTCATTCTTTTTCTTTCTTTCTGTCATTTTTTCTTTCTTGTGTCCGTTCGTTCATTCTTCTTTGTATTCTTCTTTTCTTCCTTTCTTTATTCCTTTCTTTCTTCTTTTCTTCTTTGATTTTGACATTTCCTTCCTTCTTTCCTTCCTTCCTTCCATCCTTCCTTCCTTTCTTTCTTTCTTTCTTTCTTCTTCCTTTCTTTCTTTCTTCCTTCCTTGCTTTTACTTTACATTCTTTCTTTCTCTCGTTCCTTCCTTCATCATTTCTTCTTTGCTTTCTTCTTTGCTTATTTCTTTCTTTCCTTCCTGCCTTCCTTCCTTTCTTCCTTACTTACTTTCTTTATTTCTTCCTTCTTTCTTTACTTCTTTCTTTCTGCTTTTCTTCTTTGCTTTCGTTCTTTTCTTCCCTCCTTTCTTTCTTCTTTTCATTCTTTCTTTCTTTCGTTCATTCGTTCTTTCTTTATTAGATCTTCCTTCCTTCGTTTCTTCTTTGTTTTAGACATTTTCGTCCTTCTCTTTCTTTCTTTCTTGCTTTTTCTTTTCATTCTTTCGTTCCTTCGTTCTTCCTTTCTTCCTTGATTTCTTCTTTTCTTTCTGCATTTTCGTCCTTTCTTCTGTATTTACTTAATTACATTATTTCTTTCTTCCTTCCTTTCTTTCTTTATTTCTTTCTTTCTGCATTTTCTTCTTTGCTTTTTTCTTTTCTTCCTTCCTTTCTTCTTTTTATTTTTTCTTTCGTTCGTTCTTCATTTCTTTCTTCCTTCCTTACTTTCTTCCTTTATTTCTTCCTTCCTTTCTTTTTTTCTTCCTTTTTTTCTGCTTTTCTACTTTGCTTTATTTCCTTCCTCTTTTCTTTCTTTCTTTTGATTTTAAGTGTATCATCATTCCTCTCGATCTATATTTATTTCATTTCTCTTGGATTTTCTTTTATATACGCATGCGTAACTTCCAGATCATCAGCCATTTTTCCATTCATTTATTTTCTATTCTTTCTTCGGCATTCTTTATCATTTTATACATTCATTTTCAAATGGTTTTCTTATCTTTTCTTTACGTCTTAAATTCATTCATTTCTTTTCTCTGCCTTTTATTTTTATTTTCTATTTATTTTCATTTTACATTTCTTGCCTATACTTTTATTTTATTTGTTAGACATTTTACTATTCTTTTATGAATTTAAATTTATAATTTCTCCTTTTCATGAAATCTTTCTTTCTTTATTTCTTTCTTTCTTTCTTTCTTCAAGCCTGCCTTCCATCCTTTCTTTCTTTCTTTTTCTTTGCATTCTTTTTTTTTCTTTCGTTGTTCATTTTTTTTTTTTTTGCTTTCGTCTTTCCTTACTGCCTTCTTTCGTTTCTTCCTTCCCTTCTTCCTTTCTTCTTCTCATTCTTTTATTAGTTCGTTCTTCATTTATTGGATCTTTCTTTCTTTTTCTTTCCTCTATTTCTTCCGTTGTTTCTTTCTTTCCCTTGTGTATTTAAATCAATATTTTCATTTTTTTTTTCTTTTTGTCTTTCTATTCATCTTTCATTCATTTTTACATTTAATTCTAGAATTTTCTTCTTTTTATGTGTTCTGCATTTCGTCGTTTATTTCAATTTTGCATGTAAATCTAGAATTTTATTTGTCCTTTCTTTATTCCTTCCTTTATTTTTCTTTCTATCTTTCATTTTTACATTTATAAATTTAAATGTATACTTTTCATTTTATTTGTTTTTATTTTTTCGTTTTAATGTGTACTTTGCCTTTCTTATTCATTATTTCTTTCTTTATTTGTTTTTTTCCTTCATTTTCTAATTCGTTCCTCTTTCTTTTTTAATTTTCGCATTTAAACCTATGCTTTCTTCTTTTTAGTTTTTTTTCTTTCTTTCTTTTATTTTTGCATTTAAATCTGTATGTTCCCCCTTACTTGTTCTTTCATTAATTTTTGCTTTAAAATCTATATTGTCTCAATTATTTGTTCTTTCCTTTTTATTTTTCCTATTTGACAACCGGTATTCAAATAATATTAATTGCTGACCATCAAATCCAGTATAGATATCTTGGTTCCAAATATGGGATTGTACGTATGCGCATGCGTATTAGTATTAGCAGCACTAGTAGCAGTATTACTAATATTAACTTTTTATTCATTTCTATTGGACGAATAATCGTTAACCATTATTAATTTTGACTAGTTAAAATTTATTGATGTTTTAATTAAGTAAATATCTGAAAAAGTATTATGCATAAGACATTTTCTTAAAATATTTTTCTTTAAAAAATCACGAAGTAAGTATCCAGAGATTGATGAGACAGAGGGAGAAGATACAACGAAAGTCTGGATAGAAAGATCCGAGCGTTGTATACAGATTTGAAACTGTATTGGCAACGAATGATGGTGCGCGTAGGGAAAAAACTGAATCTGCTCTATATACTGCCTAAAAAAGAAATTAACCGATAGTTATTTCTGGGCATCTCGTAATTTCTCGAAAATAATACGCACCCATAAATAATACGCACCCCAACAAATGATCCGAAAATTAAGAAATATATCTATCCTTATGTATAATACGCATCAAAGAAGTGTTGTCTCACGATAGCCATAGATGGCTCTGAGGATAACCTCCTTTGGCAAGAGAATAAGAATAAAGAGGCCGAAGATAATTTTGAACAGGCCAAAGATAATATTGCGAATGATGATTTGTTTAATAACAATTTAGATATTGATTCTATAATAGAAAGTGATGACGATGAAAATTAAAATTTTAATAAATTGTTAACTTGATAGTCTTTATTCTTCGAAATTTTCCATTTTATAGAATTTATTATTTTTACGCCAAATAAGAAAATGCTGTAACTGATAAATATAAATTTATTGACAAAAAATGTTACAATTATTATTGTTGGATTTAAAATGAAAAATGGGATAATATTTTTCTTCTTTTAAAACAACAAGTACGTATTTGTTATTAAAAACCAATAACGAAAAAAAATTTTTTTTTTTATTTAAGCATATAAATAATACGCACCCGTACTATCACATGTAATTTACAGTAAAAAAAAAAAGCGAAATATTTTAGAGAAATGTATGTAAAGTTTTATTGCTTTGAGTTGTATAAATATATTTCCAAGTATTAGCGAGTTTGCCAACGGGATGATTTTAAATGCGTAACTTAAAAGATTAAACGTAAATGATTAGGTAGTTGGCTTCATTTAATTGAGGCATGGGGTTATTTTTATCGAATTATTATTTTTTTCTGTTTTGGCTTTTTCTTCTTTTTATTAATAATTTTTTGAATATCTGAGCACCCCGTTGGTATCAAATGTTGAGCTATCTCATATTCTCACTTTCAATTACGAGGAAGAACGGCATACTCTCTCTCTCTCTCTCTCTCTCTCTCTCTCTTATCTACTTATCTCTCTCTACTTATCTCTCTCTACTTCTCTCTCAAACACACACACACACACGTATACTCACAAACACATACGTATGTATATATAAATACAACCATACATACACACACATACATATATATATACTCTCTCGCTCTCGCTCTCTCTCTCTCTTTCTCTCTCTCTCTCTACTTATCTCTCTCTACTTCTCTCTCTCTACTTATCTCACACACACACATCTCTCACTTCTCTCTCACACACACACACACACACACACACTCCACAAACACATACGTATGTATATATAAATACAACCATACATACACACACATACATATATATATACTCTCTCGCTCTCGCTCTCTCTCTCTCTTTCTCTCTCTCTCTCTACTTATCTCTCTCTCTCTTATCTCTCTACTTCTCTCTCTCTAAATAAACTTACACACACATACTCTCTCAAACACACACACACACACATATACTCACAAACACACATACGTATGTATATAAAATACAACCATACATACACACACATACATATATATATATCTCTCTCTCTCTCTCTCTCTCTATATATATATATATATATATATATATATATAATTATATTTGCTCTACTATGCTTTGAGTATATATATATACATTTTTAGAATAGTATTTTTCTTCTCTCTCTCTCTACTTATTGGAATTTATTCCGTATACACACACACAACACGTATATTTCTTATATATATAAATATATATATATATATATATATATATATATATATATATAATATATAATTATATTTGCTCTACTATGCTTTGAGCACCATTTTTTAGAATAGTAAACCATATACATAATTATACTTCGCCCTGAAATATATATATATATATATATATATATAAAGTAGGTGAAACAGGAGTAATTACGCTTGTACATCTATGGGATTGTAATCGATATCTCCACAAACTTAATAATATATAAAAGACGATATAAAACGAATATAAATACGCAAGTTGATATTTTTGTTCCAAACAAATAAAAAAAACCGCTTTAAAACAACAGAGTTTGTGTTTAAATATGAGCGTCTATGAAAAAGACAAATCCTATTTAGTGCGCCGCTGGAGAGGAGTGCTTCCCATTAGAAATGTGACCCGACACCGCGTCGAGTTGAAAGGTCTTTTTTGAAAGTATATATTTATAAAGCGCCCGCCAGTTGATACTATATAACTCCTCTACAAATAATCGTCCTTGTCGTGGCCTCACTTCCCAGTTGATATATTACTATATAAAGATATGTAAACAAACGTCGTTTAATTATATCCGAAATGAAGCTGAATATAGTATGACAAGCGAATATCTTTCTTAATAAAAATATATATTTCTATATAATAAATGCGAATGTCAGTGTGTCACACTTTTTCAATTAAAGGGACATAACTCTCTAAGATTCAATAGTTCATGTTACAGAAATTTTGAATTCCTAAGTTTTCCTTGCTGTTATCGTTTTCAGCGATTTTGTACGTGTTTTTTGCCACGAATTTTTGTACGATACCAATTTTTAGATAACATGTTTCCTATTTCAGCTAAATAAATTAGTTATTTAACATTTCAGAAGCGTTTTATTTATTTCATTAAAGTGAGTCATTTTATGTGTTGTGACGTCAACCCGGCCTCTCTGCCCCCGCGCCCGTCACCGTGCTATCCTGTGACGATCAATGTGACTTGGTATTGGTCGCGGCACCAAATGTGACGTTCTAACCCTTGGCCGATTCGGACAGGAAAATTTATCACTTTCCATTTTTGGAAGTCCATTACTTTCTGCTTAGAAGGGTTCTCGTCCTCCCAAATTCTTCCTTTCTCATATCGGTATCTCACACCAATACCCTCGGAGGGCGTCAACAGGTTTCCCTTCTTTCTCATAGTGGTATCTCACATCATCCCCTCAAAGGCGTCAACGGGCCTCCCCTCCTTCTCATATGTTTACCTTCGCCCATTGCTTACGCCACCATTCAGCCAATGAACGCTCAGCAGCGTGGGTGTAGCTAGTCTGGCCTCAGTTTAAAATTATCGCTCAAAGGAAAAAAATTATCTTCCTTTTTCCTTTTC